ACACTCACACACACACACACACACTCACACACTCACACACTCACACACTCACACACTCACACACACACACACGTGTGTATATATATATATATATATATGTGTATGTATGTATGTATGTATGTATGTATAAAGTTGGTTCCCATGTATATATATTTATGTATGTATATATACACATACACATATACACACACACACACACACACACACACACATGTATGTATGTATATATAGGATGTATTAGGGATGTAACAATATTATCAATATTGAAATATCGCGATTGAGGTGTTCTGTTGTTGGATGTAATGATGAACATAGCAGTCGTCATTTACTCCCGACATCTGAGCCGCTGAAGACGCAGTGGATTACGTTTGTTTCTGAAGGGAATGCGCCCCCGATCTACATAAATGTGTGTATGTTTGCGTGAATCATTCGTGATCCAGCTTCACCTCCAGAAGACGTGAGTGTAAGGTTTTTTTTTAAGAATCTTTGCAAATCGCCTTTCCTAATAATGTGCAAGTTAGTAAGTTTCACGATGAATGTGGCTAAAGTTAAGAGTCTCTCAGAGAAAGAGAGAGGGGGGGTGAGCAGAGCTCATTAGCATTTAAAGGGACATGCACCAAAACGGCTCGCTGTTAAAAACATAATTGTTTTTAAAGGGGAAAAAAGGGTGTTGTTTTACACTACCATTGAGAAATTTTAACCAAAGTATGTTATAGACTTTTTATTAAGACCCTAAAGAATCATATCAACTTGTGGAAAATGGGCATCTGATGACTCCTTTAACGCCACAAGACAGTTTGCGCTGGTGCAATCTGTTATTAAAACTGGCCCTAAGACTAAAATTGAAAATAGCTGATAAAAATTGACACTACCTGCAGGATGCGCCGAGCGTCCTGGATATGGATGCGGCGTCCGGGGTCGGGCTCCAGCAGCAGGTGCGCCAGTCTCTGCAGGCCGGGTGAGTAGATGGAGGCGGCGGGGATCGGCGGCAGCTCGTCGCATCTGTAGTCGCATTTGCCCGGCGTGGCTTCGAACGGGTTACGGCGGTGCAGGAGCTCATAGATCAGGATGCCGGTTTGAAACTCGTCAAATTTGCGGTACTGCCCAGCCGAGACGATCTCAGGTGCGAGCCGGGCGTGATCCCGCTTTAGAAATTGGTCGTCTGCATTGAGCCGTTTCAGCTTCGAAATCACAGTAATAAATTACATTTTAAAACATATTTAAATAGAAAACAGTCATTTTAAATAGTAAAAATATTTCACAATATTACTGTTTTTGCTGTACTTTGTACTTGTACTTTTAAAAAAACGTACTGCTCAAAAACTTTTGATATTTGGAATAAAGATTTTTACACGTTTTTAAAAAAAAAGTCTTTAAAATTCAACAAGGCTGCATTTATTTTAACAAAAATACTAGAAATACTTGAACAAACATACTAGTAAATACTAGAGGTCGACCGATGTATCGGTTTTGCCAATTAATCGGCAACAATAGTTGATTGGCGGAACTATCAGTTATCAGCAAAAATCCATGCTACGATAGTTTTTCCTGGTTGCGTCCGTTGCTGGAGCAGCTGAAGCTACGCTGTCATTATACAGTATGAGAGCGAGTATACCTGCGAGTTTTTTTTTTGCCCGGTGTGTGACTGCCGTCTTATGTTATTTTGATTAGATAATCATCAAGTGTTCTAGAATAGAAGCAGTTAAACTGTGAGAGTACACATACAATATCCATATGTATGTCATTTCAATGCTATGGCCTTTGTGTAGATATTTAAAGATGACCATCTTTAGATATGAATTGGTAACACTTTACAATAAAGAATCCATTTGTAACAGTAACTAATATTGATACAAGCTGTAGAATAGAAGTAGAGTGTGTTAATTTAAACATTTACGGATATATTTGTAAATTTTGAAGTTGGTTTTGTTAACATGAATGAACTATGAACTAACTTTAATGATCAATATATAATTAATATTAATACTTTTATTCATTTACAAAGTATGGTTCAGTACTTTTTTTAAATAGTAGAGCACTATTTTAGTTTCCATTCAGTATAATTTGAAAAACTATCAGTTGATTAATCGGTATCGGCCAGTGTGGTCCAACCTAGCTATCGGTATCGGTAAAATCCACTATCGGTTGACCTCTAGAAAAAACAATAATATTGTGAAATGTTATTAATAACAATTATTCATAATTACCCCATCCGCGTCGCTTGGCCTTGGGGTTTTTTTTTTTTTTTTTTTCGACTAAGCGACTATTACAATTTTGGCCGACCAAGCCTCTTCTGGTCAACTAACGGTTAGTCGACTATTAGGGGGCAGCCCTAATAATTAATATTAAGACTGTTATTAATTTACAAAGTATGGTTCAGTACTTTTTTTAAATAGTAGAGCATTATTTTAGTTTCCATTCAGTATAATTTGAAAAACTATCGGTTGATTAATCGGTATCGGCCAGTGTGGTCCAACCTAGCTATCGGTATCGGTAAAATCCACTATCGGTTGACCTCTAGTAAAAACAATAATATTGTGACATGTTATTAATAAGCATGATTCATAATAACCTGGTCTGCGTCGCGGCGCTTGGCTTTGGCGAAGCTGCTGATGAGGAGGCGCGGGAGGCTGTGCTGCTGTGGATCTGGACGTTGCACCAGCAGCAGGTTCTCCATGCACAGATCTCGATGCGTGACGCCGTGCGCTTTCAGATGCTCCAGACCCGCGCACAGCTGCAGCAGCAGAAAACACACGCGGCGCTCGTAAACCTCCGGCTGCGCGCGGTGGAACGACTCCCACTCGCGGACGAAATCTGCCACGCTCTGGTGCGGGACGTCCCGGGTGATGACCACCACGCACTCCTGCTCGGCCGGACCGCTCTCCTCGCTGGGTAGCATGCTCCGCGGCACGCAGGCGATGAAGTGACCGCGGTCCTGCTGCAGATTGAAGTGAGACGGGATGCTCTGCTGCACCGAAAGACCGTACAGATGAACCTGCTTACTGTCCGGAGCCTGGCCTTTACAGATCTGACCAACACACAGAGAAAACAGACACGCTATGATGTTAAATGTTAATTCACAATTTCCTTACCATAAATAAAATATATATTTGGAATAATTAAGAATTTTTTATATTTTTAAATAAAGCCTTTTATGTTCAGCAAAGCTGCATTTATTTGATAATAATATTGTGAAATAATATTAATAACAATTATTAATAAAATTGATCTATTATTAAAAGCTTTCCATTAGTATTGTTTATTATTATCAATATTTAAAACAGTTTTTGCTGCTTAATATTTTTGTGGAAATATTTAATTCTGGATTCTTTAAAGAATATAAAAAAACTACTGTCACTTTTAATCAATTTAATGTCTTTGCTAAATAAAAATAAATAAATAAATAAAAAATAAATATATATATATAAGGACAAATTAAATTGATATAAATTGGCAGTAAAACATTTATAATGCTACAAAAGATTTATATTTCAAATATACGCTGTTCTTGTGAACTTTCTATTCATCTGTGAATCCTGAAAAATAAAATGTGTTACAGATTCCACAAAAATATCTGTTTTCAACATTGATAATAATCAGAAATGTTTCTTGCGCAGCAAATCAGCATATTAGAATGATTTCAGCGGTTTATAAATGCAGCCTTGGTGAGCAGATGAGACTTCTTTCAAAAAAACGTATTTATTCCAAACCTTTGACGGTTAATTTACAGTATATATGTGACTCTGGAGCACAAAACCAGTCATAAGGGTCAGTTTTTTTGAAATTGATATTTATACATCATCTGAAAGCTGAACAAATAGATTTCCATTGATGTATGGTTTGTTAGGATAGGACAATATTTGGCCGAGATTCAACTATTTGAATATCTGGAATCTGAGGGTGCAAAAAAATCTAAATATTGAGAAAATC